AGGCGCCGAGCCAAGGTATATGCTTCTAATGAGATCAAATACATGTGTTCCTGTTATAATACAATACACTTGTTCCTGAAAATTCTATGCTTTGCGGAAAAAAAAAAAGTGTATGATAAAGTTACTGCAAAGTAGATTTGGGGCAGATCACTCAAAACCCATGCAACTTTGAAACCAGAACACCAGCAAAAACAACGTTTGGTGTCCTAGGAGAAAACCTGGCTATCAGGGCAGGCAGCAGGGCTGGGGGCTGCCCCAAGGGATATGCAGAGTGCACAGTAGCAATTGTGGGACGTGGAGACCAGACCAAGGGACGCTGAGCTCTGACCCAGTTAAGGCAGGATGGGGAGGTGGTGCTACCTGCTATAAGCCCATAGCTGGGCAAAGCCCTGGGAGGGAGCCTTGGCCGTGCAGATTAATTGTTAAATTTCCTATATTAGACCAGAAAGGGCCTCTGTCTATGCAGTAGCCAAGGCATGGGCCTTTTTTTTTTTCCTGTTTAAGGTATAACCCTACCGCCACTATTTCAGCTCCCAGGAAAAATCACATGTAAACCAACAAAAAAACCCCCACACATAAGCCAAGGAAACGTCCATGTTTATACTATCATGGGTCCCCTGTTTATCAATCACGAATGAGCTAACTGACATTACAGAAAGAATAATTACGTGCTTCATCTCTGTCCTTAAAATTTAAAAACCTGTTACCGCTGTTCGGAAAGTACCACTCAAAATTTTTATTTTATTTTTATGGCTAAGTGTAATCAGATGTCGTTAATTTAACGTCCCCCATGCAATAGTGATTCATAGTTTACCTTCTTAACCTTGGCCTCCTTGAGTTTTTCCAATGCCAGCTTAATTTTATCAGCCTTGGCTTGGGCTTCCTCTTCTTCCTGCAAAAAGGGCAAAGATACTCAACACAGTCCATTAAATAATACCAGTGAACAATCACCTGTGTCAATGCCAGAGTCTCAGTTACTTTATATTAACCAAAGCTGCCACATTTCCAAAGGCTTGAGGTTAGGAATGTAAATGACCATAACGAAAATCTTCAACTCAAAGGTATGGAAGGCAAGTCACCCTTTAGAGGTTGGGTATAGGAACTTAAAAAAAAGATGAAATGATGAGTTTAAGAGTCTTTCAATAGTTATACCACAAAAATCTCAGCTTAGCTCACACCCTGGGATCTGACCTAAGGAACGGACAGATGGCTCCACCTCCAGGGATTTGAGCCCTCCCTGAAATTATAATATATGCACACTTTTGGATCAGAACGTCTGTTTGGGGGATCCCTAGTTATTATTAGAGTTTTAAAGGAGCCTTTTTTAAAAAAAATTAAATCATGGCTGTGTACATCAATGCAATCATGGGGTACAATGTGCTGGTTTTATATACAATTTGAAATATTTTCATCAAACTGGTTAACATAGCCTTCACAGCATTTTCTTAGTTATTGTGTTAAGACGTTTATATTCTACACCTAGTAAATTTCACATGTACCCTTGTAAGATGCACCGTAGGTGTGGTCCCACCAATTACCCTCCCTCCACCCATCCTCCCTTCTCCTCCCCTCCCTCTCCCCTTTCCCCATATTCTTGGGCTTTACTTTTTCTTCCATTCTTGAAATACTTTGCTAAGAAGAATATGTTTCAGAAAGGAGCCATTTTTTGCTGCAGTAAATTTAGGTATTTGATTTAATAATAATGTTCTTCTTAATTTATTATTTAATTTTCTTTCTTTTCCTATCTTTTTGTTTTCTTTTCTGTTTTTTCCGAGACAGGGTATCAGTCTCTCATCCCCTGGGTAGACTGCTGCAGTGTCACAGCTCACAGCAATCTTAAACTCTTGGGCTTGAGCAATCTTTTTGCCTCAGTTCCTGAGTCGCTGGAACTACAGGCACCTGCCACAATGCCTGGCTAGTTTTTTTATTTTTAGTAGAGATGGGGTTGCTCAGGTTGGTCTTGAATTCCTGAGCTCAAGGGATCCTTCCTCATCGGCCTCCCCGAGTGCTGGGGTTACAGGTGTGAGCTCCTGCGCCCAGCCATATTTTACATTTTTAATTGACACATGATGACTAAACATATTTCTGGGGTACACCAAAGTGTTTCAATACATACATATTATGTATGGTGACTGGATCAGTGTAATTAGCATCATCCATCCCCCTAAACATTTATCATTTCTTTGTGTTGAGGACATTCAATATCCTCTAACAGCATCCTTGATGCCCTAAAAGTTAAGACTTAGATTGAGACTTAACTTATAGTCACCAAATAAAGCACTGACAGCCGGCAGAAAAGAGAGTGTAGCATTTTATGAGCTCAAAGCCCTTTGATTTTTGCAAGCAAAGATTCCAAGAATAAGATTAGCGAGACTCTCCTCTATTTATAATGATGGCCCATGAGCTGTCTGCTTACGCTGTAATTACTTGAAAGTAGATATGTATATATCTTCCCATATCAGCAATTCTTAAATTGTTTTTGAGCCACAAGCCCCTTCACGAAGATGAGGCAAGTGAGAAGGAAGCTTCACGTATGCATTCTACTTTTTATTTATTTTTGTCCCCCTTGAAATCTTCATGGCCCTATATTAAAAGCCTCTGCTCTCGCCGAGTGTGGTGGCTCATGTCTGTAATCCCAGCACTCTGGGAGGCCCAGGTGGGTGGCTTGCCTGAGCTCATGTGTTTGAGACCAGCCTAAGCAAGAGCAAGATCCCGTCTCTAAAAATGGCCAGGTGTTGTAGAGGGTGCCTGTAGTCCCAGCTAGTTGGGAGGCTGAGGTGAGAGAATCACTTGAACCCAAGAGTTTGAGGTTGCTGTGAGCTATGGCAGCACAGCACTCTATTGAGGGTGACAAAGTGAGAGTCTGTCTCAACAAGAAAGAAAAATAAAATAAAAGCCTGTGTTCTATATTGATCTCTACTTTAATAATAATTTGTCCAGAACAAATACAAAATAGAGCAATGAATGTGAATTAATAGACATGATAGGAACTTTCAGGGTCACCATTAATTAATGTCCCAAATAGCAACAATTTGAACTTTCCAGTTCCTTTTCAGGATTCAGAAATTTCTCCATATACCTTACAGAGTTCCAAGTAATACTTGGAAATATCTTTATCCTACTGCTCGAGGCTGCCAAATTCCATCAACAAAACTCCACCTAGCTCAATTCACAAAGTGTGTAATGAATGTCTTCTATTCTCTATGTACTAGGCTAGGAAGAGGGACGTGGGAATTCAGTTCCATGGTTCATCAGATGTTAATAAAACATTCCCCCCCCAAAGTTGAGTATTCCCAAGAGGAGTGTCTATAAACAAATATAGTTCTTAACCAAACTACAGGGTGTTCCCCCAAAGTTGCTCTATCAAGGGAAAATGGGAAATTGTAGTTTTATTTACAAACTATTCATTACAAAATTTTGCAAAGAGGTGTCCAACACGTACAGAATATTTTCTGAATATTTTAAAAGGTATAGTTAGCTACAATTTCCCACTGACCTATGCATGGCAACTTTTGGGGCCCCCTGTAGAATACATCATGAAGATGGCCTTAGAACAGGTGTCCTCAAACTACGGGTCTGCGGGCCACATGCGGCCTGCCCAGGACATTTATCTGGTCTGCCAAGTGTTTTTGCCGCTGCTGCTTAGCAGCTGACATGTCCCGGGGCCCTCAGTCTGGCCCTCCAACGGTCTGAGGGACAGTGAACTGGCCCCTGTTTAAAAAGTTTGAGGACCCTGCCCTAGCATGTTCTTTACACTCAGCCAGACATCATGGTTCGGGAGAGCTCTGGTTTTGCAATTGACGCGCTCAGTATCCTTGATTTTAGTACCCTGAACTTTGGGTGTACAAATGAATGTAATTATCGCTCCAGAGAAAGTGGAAGGTGACAAGGAGCGGAGGTCAGGCCCTGCCCTCTCTGGCCCCACGCACTTACTTGAGAGAGAGGTTCAGGAGGTGGTGGTGGCGGGGGCGGCGGCAGGTCTAACACAGGATCAGCTGGTGGGGGTGGTAAGTGATGCTCATAGTGGCTGACGCTGGCTGCAGCAGCATTTGCGGAGTAGCCCAGAGAGGCTGCACCACGGAAATTTGATGCCTCTGGAGGGGCTGAATGATGTTGACTCTGAGAAGACTCTTTCTGTGCCTGGATTGTCCTCTGCTCGGCTTCGCTTATATCCGCTACCAGATCTGCCATGAGAGCGTCTAAATCCTGGTCCTCCAGCGCATTTAAGGATTCTAATAGGGAAAATCGCATTAATGATAAAAATAGGGGCCTACATTATGAATATAGGTTAAAGGCGTTAATATAGATTAGTTAAACTTATGAATATGGAATTGGAGAATGAGATAGGTAGGAATTTCACTCAAGTTCGTTACTGACTCTTTGAATGACTTTGGACAAAATATTTTGAACTCATTCAAGAAATCTTTTTCCTCTCTTAATTCCCCCCTAAATTTAATTTTCTTGTCCTATACCCAAATGAAGGCCACATTTGTACATCATGTCTCCTGAATGAGATGAGTTTCTTATTATAACATTATTATGCTTATCTATTGCTGGGTTTGTCTTATTTCAATACTTTTTTGACAGCAGGCATAGAATTAGTGCTTAGAAAACATTAGTTGAGGGCAGTGCCTGGGGCTCAAGGAGTAGGGCGCTGGCCCCATATACCGGGGGTGGCGGGTTCAAACCTAGCCCCAGCCAAAAAAAAGAAAAGAAAAGAAAACATTAGTTGAGCTGACTACAATTGAACTGTAACATTGATTACATTTTAATTTTAATCTAATTTATTACAAAGCACAAAGCACTCAGCTGTTGTGGGTGTAGCTCAGCGGCTAGGGCACCAGCCACATTTAGCACCAGCTAAATGTGTTTCACTCCTACGTACATGTTGTCTGTTGCTGTCATTGTTTTGTAGAAGTGATAAGAACTCTGGATTTATGTACCTGGGCTCACCCTTATTTTGCTTGTCATATTTTTGGTAGGCACGTCAAGTCTTTGGTTGCTCTTTTTCAAGAGTTCCAGTGAATTCTCATTAATTTCGAAATGATGACTTCAAGATTTATTGTAATTTGAATAGCACATGGGTAAAGATGTGTCTCCAGTAAATCAAGAGAAAGATTTTGTTAATAAAGTGAGGCTCGGAGCTTGTAGCTCAGTGGTTAGGGTGTCAGCCACATACACTGGGGCTGGTGGATTCCAACCTGCCCCAGGCCTGCTAAAAACAACAATGACAACAACAACAACAACAAAAAATGAAAAAACAATAAAATGACAAGATTAGGAAGAATTAAAAAATGTTAAGTAGGCTTAGTTCCTGTAGCTCAGCGGCTAGGGCGCCAGCCACATACATTAGAGCTAGTGGGTTTGAATCCAGCCTGGGCCTGCCAAACAACAATGCCAACTCCAACCAAAAATAGCCGGGCATTGTGGCAGGTACCTGTAGTCCCAGCCACTCAGGAGGCTGAGGCAAGAGAATCACTTAAGCCCAAGAGTTGGAGGTTGCTGTGAGCTGTGATGCCACAGCACTCTTCTGAGGGTGACAAACTGAGACTCTGTCTCAAAAAAAATTATATACTGAACCATTATTAATCATTATGAAATAGACAGTTCATTTTTATCCTTGAGGGGACATTTCCTTATTAATATTTTGTTATACTACTCCATGTTACTCTATGGGGTTAGTAATAAGACGAAACTCCCCTTACTTCAAAAACTAAGATGATTTGGGGGCTTTTTACAAATGCAGGATGGTCTCCCCTTTCATTAAAGGCAAAAATAGCTTCTTGACTCTCTCAGTTCAATGCAAACACAGTTAAAGCACAATCTGAACTACAGGGATTTTAACAAAGTTTATCATGATGTCAAGTTCCTTTAATTTTGTTTTCAGATTATAGTTCCATAAATATTTTAGTCATCATTATGATTCCAAATTACTTAAGAAGAGAAATTGTTATGCTTACCATTTAAATCTTTAAAACCCACACTGTAGTTAAATTCAGCTCTGGGCGGTTTAGGGTCAGGAGGAGGAAGAATGTCGACTCCTAAACTCTGTGAAAAACAGATCCCACCCCCCAAAATTATTCATAATGCGAATATTTTCTGGAGCACATTTTGATCAGCAAGTCAAAAACCAGGCATCATTTATAAAATTTCTCTTTACATGTGTTCTCTAAAACCACCTTCTCATTTAGAAATGTTTTGTGATTTTTTTTTTACCCTACAGAAAACGACAATTAAAATTATTCTAGAAGGAATATCTTGAAACAAAACATGCTGATTGGAATGATGAGAATGAGATTGTTGAGTTAGTTTTTCCCAAAGAACAGAGAAAATGCCTCATAATGATGAATACTGTATATATATAAAATTCTATAAGGCCTTAAGTAAGGATATCACAGGAGGCATCTAGTCACTTGGAGAAAAGCTGTTTCAGAACATAATCTGCTCTTGTACCCTAAAATGTGGTGCTCTTACTCTGTCTTTAGACAAAGTAGGGGGATTTTCGTACCCTGAAATCTTGGTACCTATGTGTTTGGAGAGCTCTGCTTAACCAAGCAAACCCCATGACTACACCCACTCAGGCACACAAAAAAGAAATAACCCAAAGCAAAATGGCCTTGAGAAAAGGCAGGTTCAAGAGCCTCTCTCTAAGGGGCCTCTTTCCTGATCTTGAGTTGCAGTAACAATATTTACATGTGGTCTTATGAAAGTTCCAGACTCTAGTCGATCAAAACAGCCACTTCTCTGGAGGGCTGCAGGAGGGGGTGAAGGAACTGGGGAAGACCCCCAAAGTTCACTCTGACTCTTGCCCCTTGCGGGAGGGAAAAACCAAGTTCTCATCGACAGACATGCAGTTCCCTCATCCCAACACTCGCCTTTTCTCCCCAGCACCTGTTCCTCTAAGCCTACGTCTCATATTTTATCTCTTCTTTCACAGAATCCAAACTTCCCTGTATTTTGTTGGGATTCCAAGGTAGATGCTCATTAACATTGGTTTATTTTGCTTTAACAGTTTTTCAGGACATCGACTATTCATTTGTTTTGCAGAAAACTTTGAACCATCCCTATCTTATTTAAAAACACTGGCTGCTGCTTCTTGGACAGTCTGTGCAGGAAAGGGATGAGCTGATTATCCTCTGAATCAAAGAAACATTTATGAGACATGATAAAGCTCACTGACTTTGTAACCTGGCTGAGTGGCCTGGGGGTCAGGGGCTTCCGGGCTCCAGTGACCCTGACAGTGCAGGTGACTTCTGAGTTAATCTGGTCTTGGTGCCAGTGGCTTTTCTCAGATTTGCAGCCTGTGAGGCTTTCACACTCCAGTGTGGGGCCAAAGTTCTTACCATCTAATCAGGAGGCCACAATAACTCCTACGTAGTCCTTTAAAAGTAGCATTTCCTCAAAGGTTGGTAAAAAAAAAAAAAAACTTTCTTAAAGATGATGTCATTTTTCTTAGCTGGTCTTTACAAAGGCAACAATAAGGGACATTGCTCAGTGGTGGTTATACAGGGGAGACACTCAAGGAAAATTCCTCTACGGGTAAATATGTGGGCACTTAGCCTGACGTGTGTGTCACCAACATATTAAATTAATGGAACTCAGAAGGAGATAGTCAGGAAAAAGCTTTATTTTTCCCTACCACTGTCACAATAGATAAGATATTGTTAGATAATATCGCCAATCTACACGTTTTCTTTTTAAAGACAGTTCTCTTGTCATGTTAAGATCAAATTCTGTAACCCCGTTTTATTTCTTATTTCCAAGTTAAGAAGGGACGTTTACCTGGGTCAGAAGGTCCATCTCTCCCAGCAAAGTGCTGAACATTTGGTCTATGTCTTCACTCGACTCACCCATCTGAAAAAGGAAGGCACCCAGATATTAACAGTGTAACAGAAGCCTGATCCTGGGGCGATCATCACCTCTCTTTCTCTTCCCCAAGAGCTCCATCCCTTGAGTAGGTAGTCTGGGAACACACCTGCCTGGAGAGAGCTGTTCATTTTAGCCTGAGATTCCATGCCTGACCTCTATCCAATTTGCTTGGTCCAAGATTGAGCCAAACCTTGGGAACGGCCTTAGAGCTACAGTTGAACTTTCCCAGACTGAAAAAGTCTCCTCGAGCGATCAGGTGGACAAAATAGAGGTCATTCAGCTATTCACGTCACCGTGGGACACCTTAGAAAAGAAAAAAACTCCTCCTGCCACAGATGATTATGTCGGGGAAATGTAGGACTTCACCTGCACTTTAAAACTTACTTGAAAAGGATATGTCAGGAGTGACTAAGTGTACTGGCCAAATGATGCCCCGCTTTCCAAACACCTCTCTGATTTGAGGTTACCATGGGCTTGCAAAAAACATTTTATGACCACCTATTTTAAAGATAAGACAACTTTGCTTCCAGACAAATAAACAAATAAGCAAAGACATTTAACAGAAACTCTACCCTTTAACTCTATCCTCCTCCCCTCCCATTTTTTAACTGTTTTTTTCTTTTGAGACAGAGTCTCATTTTGTTACCCTGGGTAGAGTATGGAGTCATAGTATCCTCTTGCCTCAGCCTCCCCAGTAGCTGGGACTACAGGTGCCCACCACACTTGGCTTATTTTTTTAGAGACGGGGTCTCGCTCTTATTTAGGCTGGTCTCGAACTCATGAACTCAGGCAATCCACCTGCCTCTGCCTTCTAGAGTACTAGGATTAGAGGTGTGAGCCAGGACGTCCGACCCCCATTTTTTAACTTTTTGTTGTTTATCTTTAATAGCAGCTATTGATACATTATTTGGAAGTATTAGGTGAGGGAAACGTAGAACCAGAATGGCCACACAGTCAAGCAAAAGGAGATTGAACCAAAACATTTTTTATATGCCAACTTTTTTTTTTTGTTTTTTGCCAGTTTTTGGCCAGGGCTGGGTTTGAACCCGCCGCTTCTGGCATATGGGGCCAGTGCCCTACTCCTTTGAGCCACAGGCACTGCTCTATATACCAATTTTTCTTTACCTAAACTGAATGAAGCAATTAATTGCCCAAGAGAAGAAAAGTTTGCCAGGAAATAGGATGCCTAGGCTAGTCGCGCCTGTAATCCCAGCACTCTGGGTGGTTGAAGTGGGAGGATTGCCTGAGCTCAGGAGTTCGAGACGAGTCTGAGCAAAGCAAGACCCCACCTCTACTAAAAATATAAAAACTAGGTGGGCATTGTGGTGGGTGCCTGTAATCCCAGGTACTCGTGAGGCTGACATAAGGGGATCACTTGAGTTTTGAGGTTGCTATAAGCTATGATGCCATGGCACTCAACCCCAGGGTGACTGAGCGAGACTGCTAATTAGCAGTGCGGAGTTTAGCAGAAGGAATCAATTATTTTATATGAATGATAAGGATTCTGCCACAGATCATTTCTAAGGGCATTCCAGAATTCGCTGAAACACTGTAAGATTAGTGCCGATTACAGCTCAACCTAAGAAGTCTAGTGAGCGTAGTTAACCAATGTGTACTATTTAAGTGAAATAGTATTTTCCTGAATGTGTGTATGCGGGTGCTTGTGTGTTTTAGTCTTTTTATATGGAAACTTTTAAATATATACAAAAGGAGAGAGAATAACTTCATGATTACACATTGTCCAGCCTTAACAATGACCCAATGCACAACCGATCTTTTTTATTTAAATATATCTGTCTATATCTTCCGCCAATAGAGTTTGAGACAAATACTACTTTTTCCACAAATATCTCCATGTGTAACTCTAAAAGATAAAGATTTAAAAAATCATAAGCATAATACATTAGAATCTCTGTAAGTTGACCACCCCAGGGACGGTAACAAACTGGTCAACATACAGAGGTGGTCAACATAAGGAATGAGGCCTACTATACAGATATGTACATGTGGGGCATGTCTGGTCTATGACAATCAGGTCAACTTAAGGAAGTGGTCAGTGGGGGGAGGCGGTCAATGGGGAGGGTCTTCTCTACCTTTATCTCAGCATGTGTTTTCGTGTATGTCTTTAAAACTAATTATTTGAATAGGCCAGATCAAGGCAAATCTATATTTCCTTGAATAAGTGATCATGAAAACTTACAGTTCACCCTTTTTTTTTTTTTTTTTTTTTTTTGAGACAGAGCCTCAAGCTGTCCCCCTGGGCAGAGTGCTGTGGCATTACAGCTCACAGCAGCAACCTCCAACT